GATTATAGAGGGTATAGCTCACCCTGCACAATCATCTAAGTGAAACAGCATGCAAGGCAGTACACAAGCCTGGCTTTGGGTTAATAGCAAGGCAACAGACCAACTGCAATAAACAGCATTTGGAGATCAAATAGACAAAATAGCGCTCTAAAGTAAGCTCACAATTTGATAATCTTTCATGGTAGCATGCGGAGGTTGACTAACGAGCAACCAAATTGTCATCAGATTCACTAGTAGCTAGTGAATATTAAGCAAGATAGATAACGAAAGAAGCAACCGACAGGCTGAACAGGCAAGAAGAGCAACTCTTGACCGAGCCAACAGACTACAACGTCGGAACCAAGAGCAAGAACGGAGAAGGCAGCGGTACGAAGCAGTGATAGCAGCACCGAATCCACAACCAACGATGGCGGCAGCACTCACCATCACGCAAGAAGAACTTAAGGCGATTATGCGAGAAGCAATGCAAGCGGCATTGTCTCAAGTTAATCCAGCCACAACCCCTACGTTTAGCGCCGTCCCAGGAGGAGGAGATCAGACCAAAGCATGGGACCTAACGTCAGACAAAGGAATGAAGTATTTTGCACAAGCAACTAAAGCACCAGATACTCTTTTTGATGGTACAATCGAAAAGCTACACCACTTCCTAGGGCTCGTCAAGAAGCGAGCAACGACCTACGGCATGATGTCAGTAATTGGAAACATCGGCGTAGGACGATAAAGTCTAGGAGCGAGAGCTCTGGATCCCGTCAGAGATAGCTCCAACAGCTATGCTGGCCTACAGCTCCAGCACCCACAGCTGGCTTATCTCCAGCAAAGCAGCAAGAAAGGATCGTCCTTTCTACCATAGTTAAGAAAATAGTACGAAAGATTGAGACCGATCCTGATTAGCTTGTAGCCCCTTTGATACCGCAGCAGTTGATACCAATCCTGTTGAGGCCGGGCAGAAGCAGTAGGAGGTAGCAGATAGTACTGTTCCCAGACTGCCACTGCACGATTGAATAACGAAGGCCACCAGCTCCTGAGGTGAGCTGGCCCAAAGGGTCCAGCAGAGAGCTCTGCTGGCCCTCCTGTCTGACTGACAGGGCCAAGTCCTTGGTCTGGTGCCTACTGGAGGTGTTGGAATACTCCTGAGGCACGACAAGGCTCCCTGAACTGCCTGACTACCGCTGTACCTGAGGAAGGGTTTCAGCGAGGTCCAGTCCACTACTTGAGTATTGGAACTGATCCTTCTAGAAACTTGCTGGATCTCCCCAGCTTCTACATTGGATTAACAGTCGCATAGATTTGCAGGCAGTTCTCTTAAAAGGGAAGAAGAGACCTCCTTGACGAGAAAAGGATCTCTTCGAATTACACTACAATATATTGGTCTACAGTTGGATTCATTGGATTTCATTGGAATTTGAAGTGCACTTCGAAGCCTACATTCGAAGTCCTAAGTCAACAACCTTCTGGTCAATTCTGATACTTCCAGCCACCACCACGGTGACAAGCACCTTCAGCTTGACCATACACCATCTACAACTCCAACAGACAGCCCATTGTCACCACGAAAGGGACCTACAAGAGCCACCATCTTGACTCGACGCCATTGCGGATAGATAGCCGTACAAAAAGCAGCCAATTCGCTCGAAAGAAGAAGCAGTAGGCGGTTCTCGTACTGGTCCCGGTAACAAACACCTACCTGGAGTCTCCGAGAGAACACGCGACTTATTAGCTTGCACCATTTCTGGCAATTGTACAAGTCTTTTACGTCCGAAGAGGCAACCACTGTTTATTACGTTGAACGCGACAATATCTCTTTGCTGTACGGGCTTATCGCTTGTCACTCTTGCAGCGAATTACGTGGTTTATTGGTCATTTCCGAGGCTTATATCTTTGGTGATTCCACGGAACGTGCATCAGCCGTTTGTGCAGTTTTCGAGTGTCACGAGTTTCCGTCCTGTGCGGGTTGTAGCGATTTCACGGAAGCCGATCAGCCAATCAGATCATCCGTGCAGTTTTCGAAGGTCACCTGACCAATTTGGTATTTATTGATCGTGCACTGAGTCAGCGCCCGGAACGTTCCCGTGTTCTTTTTCGATCCTGGATTTTGAAGACTTATACGGCAACGTTCCCCGTACCGGTTCTGCGCTTATCGTGCAAGGTTCCCCGATCCGAAAGCAGGCTCAGCCTACGTAAGCTCGCTGCGCTCACATTTTAAAGGTTTTACGTGGTCGAGTCATTGAAAATCGTGAAAATCGCGATTTTCCTTCAGTACGGAGCAACCAACATACCGAAGACCCAACTCGGAGAGTCACGAGACAACGAAACGACTGTTTCGAGAGAGTATCGATAGCACCACTGGATCCGACATCCTTTGTTTAGTCAGTGGGTATCTCACCTTCAGTACTGGCAACTTGTGCGGGGAGATTCATTGGCCCAAAGTTGCCTGGCTCCTCAGTGGCAAAATACCCACAAACCAAGCCAGTTCCCAGCACCAGAGCAACACAGGAAGCAGGTTCCAGACCCTCTACACTGGCTACCTTATTCAACTACCACCAAATTGAATTTCCTAGGCCCCTTGCAAGGTCCCAAGAAGTCCCCTTTGTGGTTTCCCAGCAACAGTTGAGTCAGCTTTATGCTACTGCTACAAGAGCTGAAAACCAGTGCTTCCCAGGTACAAGCCACACTTCCTCCTGTGGCAGACCACAAGAGGTACCATGTCACTCTACATACCCACAGTGACTCCTCCACCATCACGGAAGGCCTTGAAGGCGAGAGAATCAAGGAAACAGGCTAGCCCAAGAACAACTAGCCACACTTCCCCTACAACCCGAGAGGATACGGTTCATGCCATCATGAAGAGTCTGGATGAGCAGCACACCTCTATCGAAGCTGGCACTACCCTTGATAGTCTCATTGAAGAGCGACAGTGGTGCATTCGTCAGCTGCTTGACAAGTCCCTTAGTCGAAACCTCGAGAAGATCAACGGAAAAGCAGCTGTCCTCAGGCAGAAAGCAGCCGCCTCCAGGACTAGGAGGCACAACCGGTACCACGCATCTCCCAAGCATGATTGTGGGGAGTTGCCTGCCACTAGTGTCAAGCCCACGCAGCGGCGACTGGCAGAGGCCCTCTTTGCTTCCAACAACAACAGCAATGTAGCCACAGTTCCACCGACTGGGCATCCAACTCCCAAGTCAGACTGTGGGGAG